CTATTCCTATAGGCATACATCAGGCAAGGGATTGAAGGCCAATCCTACTATCCAGCAGTTATTCCCAGACTCCCGAGTGAGGTTTCTCACTCCCCCTTACCTTGATGAGTAGAAGACGAAGTGCGTACGGTTCCCTGGTGACCTCCTTATGGTTCTCTTGAGTCTTCAGAGCACATAGAAAAGAAAGAGAAAGTGAGAAGTGTGAAAATAACTCTTGACAACCTCCTTTCTTAAAAATAATAAAAATAAATAGTAATAATAACATTAATAATAACAATAATAACATTTAGCAAAATACCACTATGTCCCTCCTTCCCTTCTCATAAAATAATTAAATATATTTCCTCCTTTTAATAAATAACATAAACATAATTATTGATAAAAACATGTTTTCATAAAAATAGTCTTATAGCAAATAATCCAAATATTAATTAAAAATCATTTTTATATTAAAATATATCTCACATAAAATAGATAAATAATATAAAATATACTTCTCTCTTTTAGTAAAAATAGCATATGTTTTATATAAAAATAAAGTTCATATCAAATAACTAAGTAATATTAAAAATCCTTCTAATAAACACATTAAAATATTAAAATAAATACTACGTATTATTAATATAATTTTATAAAAATCGGGGTGTTACAAAGCGAGGTGAATTCTTTCAACAAGTCATGGAAGGATAAGAGAGTTGTATATGGCAAAATAGCAAACCTAAAAGAGATCAAGAATGTAGGATGGAACCTCAACTGCCTCATCAACAAACAAGGTTGGAATAGGTTCTTTAATGTACAAGGTTTTGTATATCCAAGGCTAGTCAAGGACTTCTTTGTAGAAGCAAAAATTGATGAAGATGTTGGTACTATATCTGTAAACTTAAAGGGGACAAATATTATTTTGACTGCAAAATCTCTAGGAGAGATTCTTGGACTACCAACTAATATATTGGAGATGTGGTTCAACTGGTTTGAGACTTTACAATTTTCCAAGAAGAAAGTAATCAAGAAACTGCTGGAGGGTGGAGAGACTGGGTTTTGGAAGGATTATTCACATCATGTCCCTTCACATATTACTTCTTAGAGTAGGAGTGTTTTAAGAAGTAATTGATCAGGACCTTCTAATCATTTACTATATGTTGAAACATATTAAGATTTGCCTACGCTACATTATTTTGCAATTTATGATTAAAGCCACCAAGCCCTCTAAGGTTACATCTTGTGTCCGTTATGGTATGATTTTGACTAAATTGTTCGAGCACTTTAAAGTTCCATTGGAAATTGAAAATGTAGACTTTGTGATACCTGATTGGAATGCTTAGAAATTAAGCAAAATGAGGTTGAGACCTCATCCTCAAATGTCTAAGAAAGGCACATGCTTAGATGATGAAGATGATGAAGAGAAAAAGAAAAAGAAAGATCACTGGCCCACTCCCTCTGTAACATCCTGAATTTTCTACTAGTATAATAATTAATTATTATTTATTTTTATATTTATGGAGGTTATTTTCTTATAGATATTTTAATGGGTTTTAATGGATGTTTTAAAGGTTTTTAATAATTATTAGTATTTTAATAATAAATATTTATGAAAATTATTTTTGGATAATATTTTGATTTTTAGTAGCCCAGAACGGGTCGTTCTCAAACTGGAACAGGCCGTTCCAAACTACTAAAATGGCCTATAAAGACTATATTGGAACGGGTCATCCCAACTCAGGATTTTATGAGTAAAATGCAAAGCCAGAACGGGTTGTTCTGATTTGGGAATAGGTCGTTCCAGAAGTGGACGTTGTGGGTTAAGTGTAATCCCAGAACGGGCCGTTCTAGATATGAAACTTGCGTAGGACTAATGAATCCAGAACGGGCCATTCTAGATTCAAAACAGGCCATTCTAGCCACATTTGATGCCTATAAATAGAACGTTCTGGCACTCTAAAAATGCATTTTTTCACTTTTGACCTCTTTTCTTCTATACTCTCTGAAGACCAAGGGGAACTTAGAGAAGGAGATTAGCAAGTTCTTGTTTTGGTTTCAGCTCCTGCTTATCGAGGTAAGGAGGGAGTGAGAAACCTCGCTTTGGGTGTGGGAATATATATTGGGTAGGGGGATTGGCTCCCAATCCTGTCTTTGTTGTATTTTTTGTATGCTCATGTATGAGGGATTTTCTCCAATTATATCTATTTTGCCTATTATTTTTCTTATATGTAATTAATTGTATGATTTGAGATCTCTATGGGTTCTTATGGGAAACCCTAAGGGAATTCATCGGTAATTGTAAGAGGAGATGGTTTGAAGAGGTAATTGTATGAGTTAATTGTATTGTTTTTAAATGTTTATTGTATGAATTAGAGTGCTCTATGGATTCCCGTGAGAACCCTATGAGAAACAGGCAAAATATGAACGTTTTCTATTTTGCTTTCTGATTTCTCTATTGTGTTCCTTGTTGAATGAGATGAATGAATATGTGTTTAGTTTTGAAAATAAACAAGTTTTGATGTGAATTAGAGTGCTCTGTGGGTTCCTGTGAAAATCCTATGAGAAACAGATAAATTTTAAATGTTTTCTGTTTTATCTTCTGAGTTTTCTGTTGTGTTCCTTGATATTTATGGAGTGTAAATATTTGTTTAATTTTGAAAATAGACAAGTTTTAATATGGATTAAATTACTTTGTGAAAATTTTGAATGACATGTAATAATGTGATATGACAATGAAATGTGAATATAATGATGAGATATGATGATGAAATGTGGTGATGAAATGTGATGATGAGATGTGATGATGATTATGTGATATGAGAATGAGACATGATAATGTGATATGAGGATGCATAGAGACTTGATTGACATGCATCATGTGCATAAATTTTTTTAAGGGTACGATATGGAATACACCGCCAGAGAAGGCCCCCTAGTGTAAAAGCTTTTGGGGATTAGTCATTGGGGATAGCTCGGGTTGTAAGTCCCAGTCTCACCCATTGTGTGCATGGGATGTATCTTGCATGGCTTAGCTATCTCGACGAGACTCTAGTAGTATGTCCTTCTAGTGAAAGTGCGCAGAGGGTGTGACCCGGCATGTACTCCTATACTACTCTTCGTGTATTGCTAGCGACAATATGCCATGTGATATGTTACTGGCGCCACATGCATGATAAAATGTAATCCATGTCCATCCATGTGCATTTTAATGTTATATGATAAATTGATATTTTTATGTCTTGAATGAGTGAGATGAGATATCATTATTAATTTATCTGTGTTATATATGTTTTGTTTGTGTTTGGCTATCTGGTGTATATTTCTACACTGTGAGCCAGAGTGAGATGTTTCTCACTCCTTTTTTTCGTGTTATTTTTCTTTGACTGTTATACAGGTAATCATCAGCGTGAGGCTGAGGATGTTGGTGATGAAGCTTAGGCTTCTATGTTGGGTTTTGCTTTGATAGGACATGTGACATCGGGGCACAGATAAGATTAGTTTAAGATGTTCTTATTAAATTATTTTGGAAAACTCAGTTTTATTTCTTTGTAATTTTATCGGCATGTTATTTGGATTAAGTTTATGAATGTGAGCTCTTTAACCTTACGTGGTTGGAAATTTGGTTTTTAATGATGAAAAATTTTATTTTTTTATAATTATTGTATATGTATGTTGGGGTAAAGGGTGTCACACCCTCTACGCTAGGATCTTCTTCACCAAACCTCTCTTAGAGGATTGCTAACTATTTAAAGCAAGGAAATACGTTTAAAATTAAAACTAGTAAGAAATCTATTCCTTGCTAAATGCTTATCTCTACTTTAGAAGGATCTCCTTCTAAGCATGAAGAGAAAACACTTTCTGGTGCCATTGATGATAATCAATATGTCCCTACTACTACTACTGAAGTTCTTGTTAATGCTCCTGTCTCACCCTTTGACGATCCCATTATTGTTGCAACTACTAGTGATTCTCTTAATGATGCTCCAACTAAAGCATCCACTATCCCAAAAGACAATGTCTTCTTCTAAAGGTACAATTTTTGACGTCTTATCTTCACTAGTCCTGCTTCTACTACTACAACCACAAAAGATCAACCCATTGTTCAACCAATGGATATAGAGCCACCCTATAAGTTAGATAAAGAGTATGAGAGTGATTCTTCTCTTAAGGAGGTCTTTTCCTATCCCACTAGACTAATTGAAAAGGACCAAACTTGTATTCTTTCTGCCTCTGACTCATTGATTTTTGATGTATTGACCCAATGCAAATCATGAGATTTTTTTATGTTCCCTCTTCAAAAGATACTCCTACTATTGCTACTACTATTGATGTTACTAAGGAAGTAAGGGTTCCCACTCCTCCTCCTCATCCTAAACCACCTATTGTTGATCTCGCTACACCTTTGTCAAGTAAGGATTCAATCTTCAATATTGAGAATTTGAACTTGTTAATACAATCTCTTATCTTTGACACTTCAACTAGGCTTGCTCCTCATCAAGGAATTCATGCTAAGGAAGTTTCTTTGTTGTCCCTGTGATTTCCTCTCCTTCATCCACCAATTTCTGATGAAGGTTGACCATCCTTGGTGCTTGAGACTGATAGATCAAACTTGCCAATGTTGGCTCTAACACTACAAGAAAAACGCAAATTTCCGACGGAAGATTCCGTCAGAAATTTCTGACGGATTTATATTTTCGTTGAAAATTTTCGACGGATTTTTGTTTCATCGAAAAATTTAAGATCATAGCACACTTCCTAATGTCCTTTGTTTGAACTCTTTAGGAATTCGATGATTGAAATTTATAAATATTATTTTAATATTATAAAATGAATAAATTTTAATTTTGTTTTTTAAAAAATATTTTTCTTTCATTTTATCTTTTTTAAAATGACTTAAATATATCTTTAATCCTTATAAAATTAATAAGTTTTGATTTTAGTTTCTGTAAAAAAAATTGTTTTCATTTTCTAAAATTGGAATTTTTATTTTTAATTCTTATTTTTTATGTAATCATTTTTAACTTGAACTGAAGAAAGACCTCAACAACCCTTATATCTTAGCCTCGTGGGACCCAAATGAGGATTGCTGCGAGTGGTACTGCGTCAAGTGTGACGAGAAAACCAACCGCATTTACGACCTCGACATATCGTCCTCTGTGCCAGACACCAACCTCTCAGGCCAAATACCTCCCTCTGTGGGTGACCTTCCTTACTTGGAGTCCCTCACTTTCCATAAGCTCCCCAACCTCGTGGGCCCAATCCAGCCCACCATCGCCAAACTCACCAAACTCAAGTACCTCATTATCACCAACACAGGTATCTCCGGCCCAGTACCTGATTTTTTGGCCCAACTCCAGAGCCTCGACTTGATCAAACTTTCCTTTAACAGCCTCTCCGGCACTATTCCCAGCTCCCTATACCAACTACCGAATCTCTCCTCCCTACAGTTGGACCGGAACCAGCTCACGGGCCCAATCCCGGGCTCATTCGGATCCTTCAACAAGCCCGGCCCAGATGCTTGTTCATGGCTATGTAAATCTTTTCATTTAATGCATTTGATCTTGCATTAAATGTTTGCTTGTATACGTGAAGTCCTTCTGTGTAGTTGATTATTTCAATGTCTGACTTCAATCATGATCTAGGCATATTTGTACTTTTCTAATCAGTTTAGCTGCTGAGGTGCTGTCTTTTTCTGAAAAGTAGGTGTTCTTTTTCTAACACACGCAACTTTGACTTGTGAATCCACGCTTGCCTATTCTTCTATATTCAGGTTTGATGTCCTTTTGTGTTTCTTGTATGATTTCACTTAATGTAATTAGTGGACTTTAGACGCGCTCCATTATTTTTCAACTGCGTCTGGATACACATTTTAGTTTTGATTCTTCGTCTGGTCTTGACTACCTTTTACGTCTGGTAGTGATGACTTCGTTTGCTTGTTCGTTAGGCTCTATCTAATGATTTTACAAATCCATGTTGATGTTCAGCCAACTTTCATCCCATTCTTGACTTAGTCTCATATGATGCTTGTTTTGGTCTTACATCTGATCCCTCAGGCTTCAGTTGATCTTATCTTGTATTTGATTTAGGCCTGGATCAACCTTAGTCTTGATACTAGTTTTGTTATCGTTTGATGTCTTGTTCAATTCAATTATGCTTGATCATACTTTGTCCTTCATTTTTGCCTGAACTTAATGTTATCCATCTAAAACACTAATACACATGTTAGGAATAACAATATGTATTATATCTGTCATATTCAAAATCTCGATGGGAATTGCGAATGCGCTTCGTTTGACTTAACAATCTCCCCCTTTTTGATGATGACAAATATAATCTATCAAGTCATTTTTAGATGTATCCTTCATACATGATTATACAAATCAAGCATCTTGTATCAGACATAGAGCAAACAAATATCATGCACATGTAATGTAAGGGTTTCTATGTTCATTCTCTAAAGTTCTAAGGTTCCTCCCCCTTAGACTATGCTCTACCCCTTACATGGTGACCTTTTCAGTTTTCAGTTGATACATATTTTCTGTGTTCTTTCTCCCCCTTTGTAATCATCAAAAAGAAATAGAGGGCAAGTGCAATATACTATTGATCATCTATCACTTCCATTCCTAGCCTATCTCGCAACTAGACATATCTATCTTCTTGAAGGGTTTTGGTGAAGATATCAGCATCAAAACTTCACAATTAAGCGTGCTTGACCTGGAGTAGTATAGAGATGGGTGACCTTCTAGGAAGTTTCCCAGAAATTGCGCAAGTAAGGATAAAACACGCTAAAAAGTGAAATGTCGTGAAATAGAACCCTTGAGAGGCTAAATATGAGGGCTGTTACATTAATAAATTTATTAAAATTTTAAAAAAATATATAATTTCTGACGGAAATATCCGTCGAAAATTTTCGACGGAAAATTCCTAAGGAAATATTCGATAGATTAAATTATTTCTAACGGATTTTTTTTTCGACGCCACTTTTTTCGATAGATTTAAATCCGTCAGAAATTTACCTTTTTTCGTCAGAAATTAGCATTTTTCTTGTAGTGTAATGCCTCAAATACCATTGAAAAACGTTTTTTTAATATGGAGAAATAGATTTGCATTCAAAGCAAAGAGCACGAAGTATGTTAAGTCAAAAGAAAATCTTAGATCCCTCATGTTTTATAAGTTTTAATGATAACAAACACCACATCTTTTAGTAAGAAAACACTTTGCAAAAGTCATTGTTTAGAATTTGTAAGACGAAGTAGCGTCTGTTGACACACACCATTGAATGCGATTAAATAATGCTAGTTTCCCCTAAATTTGTAATATAGAGAAGCCCTAGGTCGAATCCTTAGAAAACATAATTCACAGGAACTCGAATTTTATCAAGAGTTAACAAGGAAATTTTTTTACAAATAATTTATGTGTAAAAATTAAAACATATTGTAAAATTACAATTTAATTCTCCAAAATCATGAGCTTGACAATCTAATTAGATAAAACACCAAATCAAGTTTCTAATTACCGCAATATTGTTAAGAATTAATATGAATTTCATCATTTAATATTCAATTCAAATTAACGAACAAAGAACACAATCGCCCTCTATGAAAACCCAACAAAGACAAATCTACTTCGTAGTGTTTTAATTCGAATTGAATCCAATTCAATATTCTAAAATTAATTTGAATTGGTTATATTCTTCAATTAATAAAAAATGTAATTCACAATCATGAATTGAATTTCAAATTAATTGAAGAATAAAAAGAAGAAAAGAGGGAAATTCATATTTGAGAGGAATTTACCGCATAATTGGAAACTTGAATTAATTAATCGAACTTAGCCACACATCTCCATTTTCATCAACTCACAAATTTGTTTGGAGAGAAGATGAAGAGTTTCAGACAAAGAAGAAAGAAAAGAGAGAACTTGATGGAAGAGCATGGACCAAAGGTCCAACCACTAGAGCTATGGCCAGAAGATTACTTGAAGATTTGACTGCTTTAGAGCTTAGTGGGCCCAATAGGCTTGGTGGGCCTAGGGTTCTCTTCACTTGGGCTTTACATGATTTACCACCTTTTTCTCATATCTTTGGTAGTATAGGATTTCATATTGTTTGGTCTTGTATTATGGGCCAATAGTATAGGTATTTTGGGCTTTAGGCTTATTGGGCCTAGTTTTGGGCTCCATGGGCCTTTGGGCTTCTGGTACCCAATATTGGGCTCATTTTCATTCTTGTATTTTTTTCCTTTTCATTGTATTTGTTTGGCCATTGTATGTAGGCCATTAGATTAGGAATTTTAAAGGATTACATATTAGGCATGGATCATAGAAACTTAATTACATTTAGGAGTAATTTAAGTTGCATTTGAGTCACATGTTTTGTGCCAAGGGTGGTTGCACATGTGATGCCCCAAATGAACCCTAAATTACATCAAAATGTAATTAAGCTTCTAGATGAGGACCGACCACATGGGGCACCAAGCTTGGACGTCCAAGTTTGAATTCAAATTTCAAATTTGAATTCAAACTTGGCGCCAATTTTGGCTTCTCTTAGATGGCGCCAATCTTAATCACCCTTTGTGTAATCACTTTGACATATATGAGAATTTCTGAAAATATTTCAGCCTTGTTCTCTCCCTCAAAGTCACCTAGAGTTCATAGTTTTAGCCTTAGGAACCCTAGTTTCTAAGCTTGGCTGTGAGCACTCTTTTGGAGTCCTTGCTTGGATGCTTCCATCCTAGTTTAGGTTTCTCTCATCTTTGATTCATCTTCATTATTCAAATCCGAGATTGTTCATCAAGGAAGAAGATCCAATTGCTTGGAGGAGAAAAAGGAAGCCAATCTCTTTACTTCACTTATCTCACTCCGTCAGAACTTGTGAGAGAGAAGAAAATTGAGAGAAAACAATAGAAACTTATAACGTAAGAATTCTGAAAAATGAGGACCAAAAAAATTCCTGACTCCAATGTAACTACACTTACATATATTGGCCCACTAATTAAGTCACTAATACACTAATTACAAGTCATTAAAGTTTAAACTAGAAATAATAAAATAAAACTACATAGGGCCGCAATTTTTCACTGCATTTTTGGACCTCTTCTGATCTTAATTGGCTCTGGACTTCATCAAAGAAGTTGTAGTACTTTATCTAAGATTTCCAATAGTGTAACACCCCATTTTTCTTATTTCAATTTTATTTTATTTTTGAGGGTATTTTGGTAAATTTTATAAAGGTATAGAGGTGATTTAGTAGCCTGGAACGGGCTGTTCCGGAATTGGAACGGGCCGTTCCAAACTACCAAAATGTATGTGATTTAGTAGCTGGGAACGGGCTGTTCCGGAATTGGAACGGGTCGTTCCAGACTACCAGATTGTATGTTAGTTCGTAGGCCAGAACAGGCCATTCTCAAGTTGGAACGGGCCGTTCTGGACTATTAAAAACTACTTTATACTTTAAGTGGGAACGGGCTTGGAACGGGCTACGACAGTTGTGAGTAATAAATGCAACCAGAACGGGCCGTTCTGGTTTGGGAACGGGCTGTTCTGGTTTGGGAATGGGCAGTTCTGGGTGTGATTTTTGCCCACGATTTTGGGGTCCAGAACGGGCCGTTCCAAAATTGGAACGGGCCGTTACTTGATAGATTATATTTGTCATCATCAAAAAGGGGGAGATTGTTAAGTCAAACGAAGCGCATTCGCAATTCCCACCACAATCATAGGTACAAAATGGGTATACAAGAATAAATTAGACGAATCAGGAAACGTGGTAAGAAACAAAGCAAGGTTAGTTGCAAAAGGGTACTCTCAGCAGGAAGGTATAGACTTTATTGAAACCTTTGCACCTGTTGCCAGAATAGAGACCATTATAATTTTACTTGCTTTTGCTGCATGTACTGGCATGAAATTATACCAGATGGATGTTAAAAGTGCATTTTTAAATGGAACAATCTCGAAAGAGGTTTACGTGAGTCAACCTCCTGGTTTTGAAAACGACCTACTATCATCTCATGTTTTCAAACTAAAAAAAGCCTTGTATGGATTAAAACAGGTACCACGTGCATGGTATGAAAAATTAAGCTCTTTTCTAACAAATAATAATTTTATAAGGGGCAAAACTGACAACACCTTGTTTAGAAAAGAAATAAAGGATGATTTCATAATAGTTCAAATCTATGTAGACGACATAATATTTGGTGCTACTAATGAAAATCTTTGCCAAGAGTTTTCCAAGCTTATGCAGGATGAATTTGAAATGAGCATGGGGAGAACTGAAGTTCTTTCTAGGACTTCAAATTGTCCAGTCAAACGAAGGAATCAAAATTTATCAGACGAAATATATAAAAGAATTACTACAAAAGTTTAAAACGGAAGATGCAAAACCAATGAAGACATTGATGCATCCTTCAAATACTCTTGGTCTAGACGAAGAATCACTAGACGTTGATAGCACGATGTACTAAGAAATGGTCGGTTCTCTCTTGTACCTAACAGCGTCAAGACCAGACATCATGTTCAGCGTCTACGTCTATGCCAGG